TTTTGATATATTCCATGCTGAACACCTGTCGTAATTTTTTAACGTCGATTATGATTTTTGATTATTTTAAAGGTGCTGTGTCTTTTCTTTTGCTGTCTATGGTGTGTCAACATTCAGGATTTCACAGTCCTGGAAATTTTTTGGTATTTTTTGTTATTTAATTGCATTCTCCATTTTATTTTTTATTTTATTTTATAAGAAAATGAACAATGGGAAAATTGTTTCATTTTTGGGCATGGTTCCCTTTTATTTTATTAGATTTCTGATCACATTTGCAGAAATTGTATTTGAGAATATTTTAGCTTAGAATAAAAGTTTGAATTAGGACAATTTCCTGCCTTGTTGATGCAAAGTGCATTTCTGACTGTTTATGATATGAACTTGGAGTAGGATGATTCAAGTGTGGCTTTTGCGTGAATTAGTTGTCTGGAGGGGTAATGAAAAGTCTGAAATTTCATCATGTGGAAAAATTATATAGACCAAGCTGACTTGAAACTCGAGTCAGAGTGGGAAAAAATTATAAAGGTGTTGGATCATGCAGTACATGCTAAACATGGCTTAAGCCTTTGGGTGCATCCCAATGTTTAAAGGGTGTTATTGGTATTGGAGAGTTTTTCCTTCCTGAGGCGAAGTGTAAGTGCCACTTTAAAAAAAATAATTTCAAAACATATTAAAATGCAAAATAAGCTCATAATACACCAATCTTAAAAATTCATAATTGAACCACCCAAAAAGAAAATCTATAAAGAAATTATTATTTTAGTTGGTGAGGACAGTTGATTCTTTCCAAAGTGGGTCTATGAGAAAATAGTTTTGTAATGTTTTAGTGGGCAATGGGCTATTCTCAAATGGGTCTATTAAAATTTTTGTTTGTTTAGTTACAAACCTCGAGGTGTTGCTGTGAGGTGTATGCCTCCAAATCCCTCCTCACAATTTATACTCATCTGAAGCTTGTGGTCGTAGCTTGAAAATTTTGTATTTATGGGCTATTTCAATGTGTCTATATTGTCTCATTGCCTCCTTTTCCCCGCGTTCAATCTTGAAGCCTCCATGTGGCTTTCCATACATATTTGTTTGTGTGCTAATTATTGAATGGTAGATTATTTTTATCACAATTACTGGCCGTGCAAAGGGTATTTTGTGACTAATTGAATTTTATTTATTCTGTTTCTCAGTCATCTGAAAGATTAGTTAGATTCTTGAGATGGCGACCTTTGCCAGACCTGAGAATGCTTTGAAACGTGCTGAAGGTGAGTGATGATTGAATGATTATAACTATTGCTCGGCATTTTCTCCCTGCCAGGTCAATCCATAGTCAGTTTTTTCTTTACAATTTGGCTTTTTTTGGTATATCACGAATTAATTTTTCTCTCTCGTTACAGTTGCCACAAAAATCTTTGAGTTGGCTAGTTCTTGATTCATCTTATAATGTTGTAGACGCAAAATTATCCATTATTTCATTATATTGAGTATGAGTATTATGAGAGATGCATCGACAGCCATATAATTCTTCCTTCTGAAATGGTAGATACAAATTGCTATGTTGCGATGCATTAGACTGTGGCGAGACAAGATTAAACATTGGTTTTGGCCTTTGGCCACTTCCAAATAATTTTCAGGGTTGTACAATAAAGTATGCATTGTGTACTTGTCCAGATGTTCTCATACATCTTTTTTATCTCTCTTCTTCAAGATTTCGCCACATTTATGTATTGTATACTAGCGAAATGTCTCTTTTTTACATTCTTGATATGTTTGGTGGAGGTAACCTATAATGTGGTGATGCAGAGTTGATCAATGTTGGACAAAAGCATGAAGCTCTCGAGGCTCTTCATAGTTTTATTACCTCAAGGAGGTATAGAGCATGGACAAGGACACATGAGAGGATACTGTTCAAGTATGTAGAGCTATGTGTCGATATGAGGAGGGGCAGGCATGCTAAGGATGGTCTTATTCAGTATCGTAGTATCTGCCAACAAGTTAACATTAATTCGCTGGAGGAGGTGATAAAGCATTTCATGCAGCTGTCCACTGAGAAAGCTGAGCTTGCACGTAGTCAAGCACAGGCCTTAGAAGAAGCTCTAGATGTAGATGATTTAGAAGCTGATAAAAGGCCTGAAGATCTGATGTTGAGCTATGTTAGTGGTGAAAAAGGAAAAGAAAGATCTGACCGTGAGCTTGTCACTCCATGGTTTAAGTTCTTGTGGGAGACATATAGAACGGTGTTGGAAATTTTACGCAACAACTCAAGATTGGAGGCTCTGTATGCGGTGAGATATTCTTAAATGCACTTTTGGTTCGTATAATTTTCTTCGGCTCCTGCCAGAGGTTTTATCTGCAATTGGAAATTGTGTTTTTTCATTACCATGTTATCTGTCGCAAGTCCTGAGTGAGGTTTTCAGTATCTGACTTTTTAGTGGCATGCGTCAAGTAAAAAAATGTTAAAAATATAATTATAAAGCTCCAATGAGTTACCATTGAGCCAACAGAGCCTATGAACTCAATCAAGTATGTATTTTAGATATTTTTATTAGTATAAGCATGACTATGCATCATGCAGTTAGTTATTCAAATATTTTTCTCCTTTCTGCTATTACAGAAACCCTTTTATAGCTGATATTCTACAGGTTGCTGATCTCTTATAATCAGAAAAATCTAATGGAACAACTTAGATCCACATTCCAAAAATAATGTTTCTCATACTCGATAACTACGAAAATTTTTTCCTAGTATCAAATACTAGAAATAACATTATTTTATATGTTAATTTATTTTTGTCTTTCCAAACGCATGCATTTCTAGCAGGATTTTCCTCTTCTATAAAATCGAGAAACATTTATGGTGTAGGTCAGTTTTGCAACATCATACTGTAGGGAATTATTAAATGGCATCTTTTTTGAAGTAGGAGTTTGATTTTATTAGTTGACTGCATGTGGTGCTTACTTTTATAGGAAACAATATTCCAGGTGTAAAATAGGTAGATATGTATTTTTGCAGTGACTCTAAATTTGTAATATAAGAGATGATTTATATTATTTTTTTTACTGGTTTAAAAATAATTCCAACAAAAAGTTATATTTTCTTTTACATTTTTGTGGACAATCATATGGACAGCTAATTTCTGATCATCAGATGTATATAGAAACTTTATAAATTTTATCTCTGATTATGAATGTTTAATCTCTTGCAGTCATTAATTATTAGAAGGTAGATGTTAATATAAAAGTAGATTCTTATATCTTTAACTATGACATATATTTGCATTAGCTCTGAAATATGGAGTGAGAAGCCTTATTATTTTTATGGCATGATCGTGGTCATGGCTTATTTTATGAGTTGAAGCTCATTGGATTTTTATTGTACATGGTCAGAGAATGTGTATTTATCTTGTTCATTTCTTGGAGGGTCCATTTTCCCTTTCACTCGTAGTGTGGGGAACAAGTGGACTTTAGAAGTACTGCTAATTGAGTTGAGGAATCAAACTTTATCGATTGTTTTATAGATCGTTCTGGGCGTGGCCAAGTGGTAAGGCAACGGGTTTTGGTCCCGCCATTCGGAGGTTCAAATCCTTCCGTCCCAGAGCCATATCCATTTCGTACCAATCGATCAAATCATTCAACTTTTGATGTAAAAGGTTTATAGACGGAGTTAACCATTTGGTTAATATATCCAATTCTTGATTGAAAG